GAATGAAAGCAACAGTGGGAACTGTTCTGGTCAGAAGTAAAGGACAATGCGAAACCCTTGCTTTGTCAAATACTGTATAATATACATAAGCCATACACAGCCATATGCAGTAAATCATATATTTTGTAGAGCTGAAAAATGGATAGAAAATTAACTTGCAAATATTTTGATTATTGATAAATTGTTTAAGACACTTTTGTTGCAAAAATGCCAGAGACTGATGAATTCACTTCATAGTGATAGTAGATAGTACATTTTGTAGTTTTGGACTGTTGGTGGAACAAAAAAGGTCATCTTGGGCTTCAGGAAATTGTGATGTATATTTTCATTATTTTCAAATATTTTGTAGATTCTGCCCTGCACTGAAACTGCTTTGTATTTTTTTAACTCTGAACAATGGAACTAAAATTAGAATATTATAAATTATTAAAGCAAAGATCATCAGTACCTCTCATCACAGATTGATTTTGCCCCATGAGCATGAAGTGCTGCGACGGCCTTCTTACACCTCAAATGTCCTCATCTCATGACAGTTGCACCTGTGTCCTGTGTTTTTTTAAGTTTAAGAGAGATTTATAGGATTTTGAATGTTTGTCTGTTGCTGACTTTAGCTTTAAGGACTGGGGACAGGACAGCTCATCCATCTGCTCCGCTTAAAAATCCATTAATAGACAATACCTTGTTCTTAAACTGTAACAGACACCTTTATAATCATTCATTTAGCTCTTACTAAAAAACAAGAATATACAGTCTATACCTGCTGCGCCCCAACTGTATGTTTTACCTTCTGTCTTTATGTGATGGAAAATGAATGTGAAGTTTAGAGAAAAGGTTCAAAAGTTCGTGAGATTTTGTTTTGGTTTGATTATATTGTAAAAACATTTGTAAAATAGAATTTCGAGACCCCTTCTTTTTCCAAAGATTTTCAATTTCTTTGTGTTTGGCAAAAAAAATCCAATCCAATCTAAATTCACTTTAAAAGCCTCTGGGTGAAGCCGTGGCTAGGTCTGTTGGTTGGTTGACAGCTCTACAGCCGGCCGTGCAGCTGAGGCCTTAACCTCTCATTATGGGTGCTTTCTGAGACTCTGAGGATGTTTCAGTTTAATGAATGCTGTAATAAATGATATAAATATGTTGATGGTGTCACATATAGGAGCAAACAGGACAGACAGAGCTCACATCCATCATTTCACAGTGGCTGTGTGTCCACTACAAATGTCCCCAAATCCAGGGTGGATCACTGAATCTACAAAAACCTCTCTATTCAATCTAATCTACATTCAATTTATATCTAATCAAAATGATGTGTGATTATACAAATCCTGGCTCATTTTCTGACAGATTAACCCCAAATAATCTGATAAAAAGGTTACTGAGCCTCTCTCTGTGGTCTGTCTAGATTAGCGTGGGACAGCGGGCTGAAGGTGTCGGGGGTTTGAATCCTCGTCGTCCACTGAGGCTTACTGCACAAAACAGAGACTACATTTGCCTCTTGTTTTATGAACTTGTTTTGTTTCATCAGGGTTATAAACTGCCACAAGCCAAATTCTGTCAGCTGTAAAATCCAGTTTTGCACTGAGTTGACCTATTTCCATTTAAATCCACTTTACAAGTGACTTCAGCTGTCAGGACATTACATCAATGACTAGTCACAGGGGCATATTTTTATCAAACGCTCAATTCATGTTGTTTTGTTTTTTTTGGTACAAACTTGGCCTAAATAATGAGAAACAGTGATGTAAACCATAAAAAAAATCATCAACATGTAAGTCAGTGAGCAGATTTTTACACAACATAGCTTCCTGGTAGAATCAGGACAGTCTGCAATAAGTTTATGTAAAAATAAAGTAAAGGGTGTTTGTCTTTTGCTTATATACCCTTGAGGAGGTGCCTGTTTGTATCTGGCTAAACGAGACAGTTCCTGCATTAGTCAAACAGCTTAAGACTAGCTACAGTTAAGTTCAGAAGCAACGCAGAAAGTCTTTGTTTCATTGGCAAAGTCAGAAGTACGCTAAACAGTGGGAACTTTGTGGAGCGCCGCATCGACTGACAGCCGTAACACACGTCCTGTATATGTTACATACAGAAATAATGAAGTCAAGATAGCAGCCAAGACTATCCTCTCAAGAACAACTGCATCATAAGAACAAAAACAAGTGATAAAGACCTCCAAACAGCTCTACGAGTTATGACTTTGTTGGGAGCAAAGGAGGAAATAGCCACAAAAGCTACAGAGGGAGGAGGTTGGTTCCAACAGTCAGTGTTTGTTTCATTCCACAATGACCATGAGTGTGTGGTCCTACAGAGACACAATGGTTACCTGTGTTTAGAAGCTTCATATGCGACCTGTGTGTCCTGACTTTATCTAAAAATGCATTTTTGTCATTTTATCTGTGAAGGTGATTCTTCCCTCACCTAAACTTTACAAAGATGAAGTCAGAAGACTCTTATTAGACCATTATTTTGTCCTTTTAGGTATAAGAACTTGTTGTTGGACTGGCACTGTTTTACCTGGTGAACTGACTGACTGCAACAGTGTAACTAAATACAGTCAGGAACGACGGCTTGTGTGGGATTTCTGGTGTAAGAAGTTTGTTCAAGACTAGAATTGGACTACAGTGGAGTGGTTTGAGAGGTTTCTATGAATGTGTTGATTCTTAATTATCCATTGTGATCCACTGAAATTAGTCGTAACTGATACTGTATGAATCCAGCTTTTAAATGGAAAGAAGCAAACATAAAGTATTTCAGATTTTTGGTGCAGTTTCACTTTTAATTTCTGTTGAAAAATCGTATTTTTCAATTCCGATCTGTCCAAACTGAGGAGGATGAGCTGGATGGATGTTATATTTCTGTGCGGGAGATGCAGCGTGTTGGCAGCTGGCCTGTCTGCTGTTTGTGTTTAAGCTTCACGAGTTAAACTGTGATGACACTTTGACAGGTTTCCTGTTATAATAATACTCCAAACCAGGTTTCTTCCCTCATCGTTTCCTGTCACAACCGTGTCAGTCTATTATGAGTCTTTTTTTTGTTTTGTTTTTAAGGCAAAGATGCTAAAAGTGTGTTTGTGTGTGTGTGTGTGTGTGTGTGTGTGTGTGTGTGTGTGTGTGTGTGTGTGTGTGTGTGTGTGTGTGTCTGTGTGTGTGTGTGTGTGTGTGTAGGTCTGCATCTGTGTGTGTGTGACAGACAGAGCCAGATGAGCAGGCAGATGTTTCCTCTGTCTCCACTCCGACTGTCTGAGGAAGACTGACAACAGCTGGACCAATGCCAGACACACGCACACAGACAAACACACGCACACACTCGCAGCCATGTTGGAGTGGCAGCGTGGAACCGCGGGCCTCGATACTGTTGCAGACTTGAAACCAAATATATGTAACACAACGCAATGCTAATTTTATTGACTAATAACTTGTCAATGATTTCATTTTATTCACTGATGGAAACTAGACAATAACTAAATAAAAACTCATTTATGATGGTAAAAACTAAATCTATTGACATTTTCATCAACGAGGGAAAAATTGATGAAAATGTTAGTTAGACAAGTTGGGAAGAGATCCAATCAGATCTCTTTGTGTGTGATAGGGAGGAGATATGCATTTAAATAATGCACTACACTAAACTAAACTTACTAAACCTGTAAACCATTTTTGCCGAATAAAATCTTCTGATATTCAGTGAACTGAAAGTAGACTAAAACTAATACAATTCAGGAACTAAATGGCATTGACAGACGATGACTCGAACTTTGCTGGCAGAATAGAACGTGTGCTTTAAGCAGTGATATCACTGAGATCTAGGCTATCCAACTGGAAGATCCCACTACGTGATTTTTTTGCTTTAATAAAAATAACAAATTTGAAAGTCATGTGGTGTTACCAATTCTGTATAGCCTCCACTCAGACCAGTAACAATAGCCATAGTAAGACTATACAGGATTTGGAGCGTGGGGCTAGAGAAACATGGCACACTGTGTCACCTTAGGAGGACACAAATATAACACTTCCTGAAGGGGAAGAGGGCCTGAACCCCACCGCTGTTATGAGGAGTTATTTGACTTTGATGGTGCTCCACCACTTGAAGAGGCCCACAGAACGTTACAGCCTCGGCCTCAGATCAACAAATGGCCCAGATCGCTCCTTGTTGCATGTAATTACGACCACGACTGGGAGAAAATGCTGCGCCGTGTCAGAGAAAGTAGTCTTACATATATATCTAAATATAAAACAAGCAGCATTTGCAGATATCTCAACCTATCCCAGAATGCAGCAGCCAGGCTTTTGACAAAGAGGGCACCTTTCTTGCACAATTACATTGGCTTCCTCTTCAGAATTCAGTTCAAGATCCTCCTGATCACATTCAGACCCCTTCATGGCACAAGCCCTCTTATATTTCTGAGCAAGATAACTCAGATCTGCTGACCAACTGCTCCTAAATGTCCCCTGGTCTAGGCTAAAAAAAAAGAGGGCTGTGCTTTTACTGATTTAGCTCCAGCACTATGGGATTGCCTCCCCACCTGTATTGGTTTGCGTTTGTAATTCCTATTGATTTTAGTAGTAGAGCAGTAAAGTATCTGTACAAGTAAGTATATGCAGCGTACTACTACTATGCATCTATGAGTACTATTTTTGATTGTCTATTTCCTAAGCACTGTTTTGAAAAGTCTTCAGAGTGGGATTATACCCATACCAATCATAGTGTTCCTTGTATTTTTGTCCAAGGTGCATTCTGATTGGGTCAGGAATTTAAAATGTCTCGGTGGGATTTCAAAAAGACTGAAAGAGCTACCGTATCTTGAGTTTTAGCTGAATCTCGGGGTTAGGTGTGTTAGTTTGGTTCATTATGCCCAGAAAATACACCAACAAACAAACAATACGTACAGTCAGACCGTGCTTTTTAGGAGAAAGCGGATAAAACTGTGACAGCATCCTGAAGCGAGGTGAGACAACAGATCAGAGAGGAGTTATGGATGCAGTGAGTTTAGGGTTGAACTGTACCATGTTGTTTTCTTGTTCTGTCTCGTTCTTTCCCTGCATGCCGCGGTCACTCTGCCTGCTGCTGAATGTTTCCTCCGACCTGAAGGAAAAACATAAAGTTAAAATGTTTGAAACAAGACAGTGGAATAAAGTAAAATAAATCAAAAGCTAATCTGACCAGGTTGAGGAGTTGGGTACCTGTGGGATTGTCTGAGTATTTTCTGTGTGAAGCAGGTCAGTTTCTGCGTCTCTTCCTGGTACCTCTGCAGGTCTTGGGTCAGCAGATTACGGAGCGTGCTCAGTGCCTCCTCTTGGAACACCAGCCTCTCTGACTGGAGCAAATGCTCGGTGATGGAGGTCTGGAGCTCGCGACAAGCACACAGCTGAAACTGTGAGGAAAAAAATGGACGACAGTTTTATTGATCAGCTTAATGGGCGCTGCTCTGTGGAAATGCAGCAATCTCATTGGTTTACTTAAAACTGGTTGTTCTGATTCAGTTTGTTCCTGTCTCCTCTTGTCCTGCCAATACGCTTAAGCAAACACTTTACTTTAGGATCAGTATGTGTGACTGCGTCTCATGGTCTAAATCAGCAAATAATGACTACGGGAGGCAGTTGAAAGCTCTAAAAGTGGTATATTAACAGTAAAGTTTCTGGTCAATATATTGATTTTAAAGATATTATTGTGAACTGTGTAGGAATAAACACAGAATTGGTTTTTTTTTGGCAACACATTTTGCACATGACCATGTGACTCTCAGGTCAGGTGGTCAGGAAGTTGACTGAAGGAAAAGAGAAGTAGCAGAAGTCATTTTATTCACTTTTATATACTTTTAAATGTGCTTTTTTGTACTGTAAATGTGTTTTATTCTTTTTTCTGCAGGCATTTTGTATTGTGTCTGTTACCTGATGTTTTACTCTGGAAGGTTATGCTTCTACTCACACTGAAATGCACGTTTGTGTGTACCTTTTGTAACATTGTTAGGAAAGGTTAAGGTTATTATTATGGTTATGATTATGATGATTATGATTAGTAGTAGTAGTAGTAGAAGTATCTCAGCCACCTAATAAATGTTTATATGTCATCACATTTCAGTGTGTATGTGTAACATTTGTAATATCACCAACAATCACATTTTGATAAAGGTTTATACACTTATGTTTCGCCATGATGACATTTTCTGTTTGTGTTTTTTTAAGCCACTGAGAGCAGTGTGTACGATATCAGTTTCCTGCTGTGGTCACTTACAGTGGACGCCTGAAGGCTGGAGTTTCTCTGCAGCTCCTGTTCAGTCTGTTTCTTCTTCTCCCGAAGATTAGAAAGCTCAGTGGCGAGCAGCTGCTGACGGCCTTCAATCTGCAACAGTCTGACGAAACAAACAAAAAAACATTGAGTTCAAAAAGCTCCCACCTGAGCTCTTCAAATACAATTCACACGGTCAGCTAAAATCTTTTAAACTTTTAATAAAACACATACTTTTGGACCAATCATGCATCACTGCAAATATGGTAGATTTTACTACGTATAAATGCTGCAAAAAGGACCTTAATGCACATATTAATATGAAAAGAAGTCTCTCAAAAACACAAAGCATATACTTGAAAAGAGTAATGCAAATGTACAGAATAGTGTTCCATATTTGAGATAATTAATGGAGAGGAAAGTTTGTTGTGAATGCACACAATGGGATCTTTTACCCCTCAGATGCTGCTGTTTATATAGTTTCCCTGAACAGACAACCTGAGCAGCTCCTGCATTCAGTGAGAAGAACAGAAGCGGCCAGGACTGACCTTTCTGTTCAGCTGAGAGAGCTGCCTGAGAAAACACTGACAGTAAATACAGCATCGCATTTTCACTGCATCTTTTAAACATCTTTATTTTGGTCTCACTCCACTTTCCATCCCAGCAGTCTTTGCAGGTCTGGAAACCCGAAGCAGCAACTTTCCCACATCAAACATCCCTGACGGGCTCATATCACACAGTTCCTTCCTTGGACAAACACGGCCGTGTTTTCATAGATACACACAGAGTTCAACAGCTGATACAGAGTCAGTGATTAATGCTCCCTGTTAAAGTCAACAGCAGTCAAATATTCAATACAAGTCATGACTGTGAACACAGCAGGAGTCACACCACCATGTACTGTTGTTTACTGTATATCAGGAATACATTCCATTATTCACCACCGCTACTACTGCAAAGACACATCTACTGTAAAGCTAGTAGCATTAGTACCGAAGTGGTTTGTAGATTAGCAGTAGTATTAAACATAGTCGGAACCATAGTTGTGGTAGTATTAGTTTAGCCTATAGCAGTAGTAGAAACAGCAACACAATAACTGTGGTACTAAGAAGGGGAATAATACCAGTATTTATTAATAAAGATTCTATCTGTGTACATATGAGCTCACATTAACTCTATTCATATATATTAACCAGTACAGTGATGCAGTGAGAGCTCAGAGTGCAGCTGACTGTGTGTCCACTGGGAGGCACTAACCCTCTGCAGCAGAGCGTCAGAACAGCAGGTGATAAGAGGCAGAGAAGTGCTTTGTTTGTGAGGAAGAAGAGGAGGCTCATCTGAGGGAAGCCTTTGATGAACTAACTGAAGGAGTGACATCAATGTGTAGAGAAAAGACAAATTAGCAGAAACGACACAAACAACGACACAAAAACACAAAGGCCCTCTGGGAAATATATTAACATTCTGTTAATGAGCTTTTCAAGGAGGCCTACTCACTCCACTGTGTGTGTTATAAGACTGTTAGGAGAAGGACAGAAATGTGAAGTAAACCTGAAAGACGGCGGTGATCTCTACATTCTCTATGTCCTGCTGGAACAGAAAGTAGATTTGATGAAGAAAATGTCAATTAAATATATAAGCGTGGGATGACTCGTATAATTATCATAATATTTTAATATGGTTTAAATGTTCTAAAGGCTGTATAACAGTTCAGTCAAACACTGAATACAGTTGACTCTTATTAAAAGAAGCAGTCCTCTATCTGTTTATGTTCATCACTGACTGGTGCTGGATATTATTCAAAAACTGTTCATATTGTTTCCAAAACAACATCTACAATTTAGGAAATATTTCACCAAAGAAAAAGCAAATATTTGAGGTCCAGGTTCGGTAGTCTGCACTAATTTTTACGAACACAACATCCATTACAGGAAACAGAACTGAAGTTACGTATGAGAACCAGTCGGAAGTGACTAATCTAACCTCTCTTCTATAAAGCCTGGAGTTAAAGCACGCACAGAGATATAGCCTGTTCAAAGTAACTGGAATATCATTTATTTTTGATTGATTCCGAGATTTTAATGAATTCCCTGTCGTTCTCCACCATCTAACTCACACACCAGCATTTCAGTACCGTACTTAAAGGCTACCTATCAGCGTCTCTATCAGGAAGAACAGGTACATGGTTAATCTCAGTGTCTTTAAGATGATCAAATTTTAAAGGTAAATAAACTAAATGATCACATTTCTTCTTTTTTCATAAATCAAAATATCATAAATCAACTCAAAACATCCCTCTTACTTCAAATTATTTCAATTCAAAAACTCAATATGGCTCCAACACAGTCAGTATAATTCTATTTTATTTTTCAGCAGTTTAGTTTGCAATTTTTTAATTTATTTTTTGTCACATAAGAAAAAAATTATGCCTCTTCTTTAAAATATACAATGTATTTGTTTTTTTTTATCACTTTCAAAATGGACATGGCACAGTATGGAAATATGCAAAGACATAATAATCAAACATATGCAATGTGCTGTGTTGTGCCTTTACCAAATTCTTCACAGGCCACACAAGATACTTTAAAATTACAGCTTGCTCAAAATAATTAAAATGTTGGACAACTGACGTTTGTATATCTGTAAGATAAAATCATGTGATTTTGCTGAAAACCGCTGAATTCCACTGAATTACTCATCAAAATAAATAATTGTTGATCCTGAAGAAGGCTGGAAGGATGAAACATCATCAGTTAAATAAAAGAGAAATACACATGGAGCCGGTGTGTGCAACACTTTTTTCCTGCTCTCAAGATTCAAATTATTATCACATTGCACATAAAAGAGTTCAGTTACGAGTATGATAACATTTGATCTCAGACCGCTGTTGTTCATTATTGTTGTTCATTGGAGAGTCATGTGTCCAGTTGCCTAGAGCATCTTGAAAGTGTGTGTGAAGCGTTTTTTTTTACAGTATTTTACAGAGTAATAAGAAATAAAAAGAGAAAGACTAATTATCCCAGTGTCCTTGTTGAAAACCCTCAGAAACATGGCTTTTCTTTTTTTTTTGCTTTAGTGCATTCTGGGGCTGTTTTCCATTAGGGCTACACAATATGGAAATCATATTGTGAATATTTTGTCAGATATTGTGATGATTCTCGATTAGTGTGGGAACGATAAGTTTTCCATCACAAATTTCATTTTCACTGAAAAAGTATTAAAATCATGTTGATGTGACATTTGTTTGGGTCTGCAGCAAACAAATATGTTTCCTTACATCTGGAGAACAAGATTTGTAGGCCAGAGGATCTCTGCAGCACTACAGTACTTCATTAGAATGCTGATCGTCACATTTTACCTTGATCAAAAATTGGAGTTCTGTGATTTGGATAATATTTCGATTCATTGTGCAGCCTCACTGTCCATGTAACACTACGTTCAACATGACAATGTGTGTATGGAGATTCAAGGTTACACTCCTGGCTAGACCGGAGAAAAATGAATCACTTGCTTATTAATTTCAATATTATTTCTATTAAGCAAAAATGAATAAATAAATAAATCTGAAGGGCTTGGACACAGGAAGTCTCAGAGAAAGGAGACTCAGGAGAATTAAATATTTTCCCTTCTTTCATTCACTTCTCTACATTTTCTATTCTAATTATTTGTAGTTTGTTGTACAACAACAACAACAACAACAACAACAACAACAACAACAACAAAAGGTTTGGGTAGAAATATAACGTGATTCACCTGAGCAGCAACATCAACACCAAAGCAACCGGTATGTAGCATACCACAGGCCTAATTCCTGCTGGATTATGGGAAATCTCACCGTATTTAAACTTCAACTCAGAACTTCAGCTCGACGTTTAGAAGAAATGAACATCTTGAGAGGAATCTGGAGGAGATTTCAGCACTTTGAAGCTTCACGCAAACGAGCTACTTTGTCACCTGTCAATCAAAATGATCCTGACCAATCAAACGGCTTCATTAAAACACTGCGTGTGACGGAAAACATCATCCAGCGGTGTGAGGAGACAGTAATTACCAATGAATATCCGTGTGTGTGTGTGTGTGTGTGTGTGTGTGTGTGTGTGCTGTTGACAATTCAAAAATCACACACACACACACACACACACACACACACACACACACACACACACACACACACACACACACACACTGTGCCAGCTGTCAATGTGTTCTGATTAGGTGCTTACGTACAGAAAAGCGTGAATAGGGCTCCATAATTGCTTGAATGTATGTGACAAACACATTTCACTCCATAATTGCAGGTGAAAAATGTGTGGGTGTTATTTATTTATTTTTTACATTAATGTATCTCACCACTTGCAGCATGTCACATATGTAATTTTCACTGTGTCGAGGTTACCCAGCATGTACATGCCTGCACGTATTTATAGCACAAAAAGAATCCATTTTGATGAGTAAAATCCACTCCACAGTGTTTCTATCATGGACAGAGGTGATGCTATAGACCTGTATGTAAATGAACAGCAGTGTTAATGTCTCTGCCTCTACTTCATATTGTTTGTGTCACAACTTTCTACGTGTATATTTGCACCTACAAATAAATCTGTTTTGTAAGTGTAAAAAGAAGTAAAGTGCTGTTAGGAAAAAAAGAGTGTAAATGAAGAATAGGACGAAGAAGAGGAGTGATGGAAAGATATTTAGAAAAACGGGGGAAGAGGGGGTGAGAAAGAGCAGAAAGTCTTGAAGGAAAATAATAAACAGCTGAGGGAGAGGAGGGAAAATAAGACATCAACGTCTTGAAAAAAGAAAAACTGAAAGGAGGAAAAAAAGAGTGAGAGGAATGCAAAATGTTTTGACATGTTGAGGGGGAGGAAATACAGATACTGATGAAGAGCGGGGTGAGCGGATGAGAAATCATGTCGAGATTTGTTCTATGACACAACCCTGCTGCATGTCCAAATCAATAAGAAAGACACAAAAGAGAAACTGGCAAATTAAAGAGAAAAAGAAAAGTAAAAAAGAAGAAAGGCAAACAAAAATGAAACAAATAAGAGAAACTGAAAGAGGAATAAAAAAAACTAATAAAAAAGAAATTAAGAAGAAAAGTGGGAATATAGAGAATGTAAC